CTTGGCGGATGTACCGGGGGCGGGTCTGACGTACACATCTCTGTCGCAGAGGGCGTTCAGGAAGGCACTGACAACATCCAGTTGGTAGATGGGCCAGTTGTTGTGGCAGCCAATGGCGCACGTCATGCGAATGCTCCCGATACGGCATACTGGTGCGTAGCTGCGTCCGTAGTCCTGTCCTGGCTCTTGACGATGTCCTCCGACTACCAGGCGAGCTTTGAAGCGTCCGTCCAGCTTTTTCTTGAAGACGAATTTCGTTCCGAGGATCTTCTCTCCCTTGGGAACGCTGCTGAGGGGCACCAGATTGTAGACGTTGTGTTTCCGCAGATTGTCCATTTCCTTGCTGCACGCTCCTTTCCATTCTTCGCGCTGGGGAGAGCTCATGGCTTCGTCATAGGTGTTGGGGATTTTGATCGCTTGATTCGTCTCCTCCAAGATCCCGTGGTGTTCGTGAGTCGTCATGACGTAGGCGTGAACACGCGGCACCGTGAAGGGGTCTTCCGCAACGTGGGCGAAATCCTCAGTATCGCCAGGGCATTGGAGCTGGACTTGATCGGCTATCTCAGCCAGCTGAGTGAAGGAAAGCCCGGATGGCTCCACGTGGCCCGTTGTAGCATGAGCTCGACCGCGGTCGTTCATGGTGAGTTCCAGATTGGCAGGAACAAAGTTGACGTCGATATGATCGTCGCTGGTGGGCTTCCCGCGCGTGCTGGCTCTGGTGACTTGCAGGCGCCGCATGCCGGAGGATCCAGTTGATGCAGAAGTGTCCGGTTCCGTCGGGTTCGGCGATGATGGACTGGGGCTAGATGCGTGGGTCTCGGATGACGATCCAGCTGGCGTCGATGGGAGATGTAGTGATCGAGCGTCCCCGTCGCCGAGATCTTGCCCGTTTCCATGTTCGTCCTCGTGCCCGTCCAGTTCTAGGCGAAGCTCCTCCCGAGCGAGATTGTCTTGCTGCATCTTCCGGACTTCTTGCCGAAGGAGTTCGTTCTGCGCCGTGAAGTCCAGGTCGCTCGTCGAGTGGGGGCTGTCCAGCAGGGAGGTGAAGCTCAGCACGTCGCTCTCGTACCCGTTTGCTTCAGTGGAATACTGGAAGGGCACTGAGCGGGGTGGAGATTTGATGAAAGTCACATTCCGGCTCTCGACCACGGCCCCGTTGAATGGATTCAATACCCGGTAGGTCTGGCTGTCGAGGCCGAAACCACATAGCTTGCCTTCGAAAGCTCTGTCGTCCAGCTTCTTTCGGTATCTCTCGTGGTGTACGAAGGCGTGCGCTCCAATGACCCGAAGTCCCGAGATATAAGGTGACTTATTGTGCAACTTTGAGTATGGCGTAACTCCTCCCAGTGCTGAGTGTGAGGACCTGTTCAACAGGTATGCTGCAGTCAGCATTAACTCCCCCCACATGGACGACAAAAAATCTCTATCCTTCAGAAGACACCGGGTGACTCCGGCCAGGGTTTGTCCGTCCCGTTCCGATACACCAATTTGTTGAGGGGTGTTGGTGGCGGCGTA